TTTTTTTTTTTTTTTTTTTTTTTTTTTTTTTTTTTTTTTTTTTTTTTTTTTATATTGATTTACACGGGATTTATTTTTAATACGATTTCCTGAACAAAGCAAATAAATGAGGCAAAGATTTCTTTTTCGTACAAAACGCATTTTGCTTCAAAGGTTAGAATCATGTGATTCATATATCACGTTGAATTTATTTTTTTATGTAAAAAGAATTATTCGCACGATATTATTCGAAAAGTTGGATAATGTTTCCTTACGTGAATGCATTCTTTGTTTGGAATTAGAAATATCTTTATGTCTTGCAATATTTCTGAAACATCTTCTCTTCGAATTTCGCAGAAGGGAATTTGCAGATGCATAAAAATATCTGAAATGAAGTATTCAATAGCAGAAGCAAATCTCTATTTACCTATGTGTCATTTCTTTAATCGTGTTTATGAAAATTTAAAAATCCGCCTAGCGTACGTATCAGAATCCTATCGTGCGCTTCTACGAAATTCTTTATACATACAAAGATTACACAAACTCTGATTACTACAGCTGTCTGTCTGTCTGGCATCTGTGTATAATTCGTTCGTACGTGACTCCGTTCATCTGCATACTTCGTATATACACTTTGGGGCTCACGTAAAATTATGTCATAATCCCATCAGCACGGACCTTGTAAACGGAGCCTCATAAACGAACCTTCATTCATGCCACGAGGCCATGGTTACTATGTATCTCTAATCGTTTAACGCGTCACTGTGCATATGGCGATCATTGCAGTGCTAAGAAAGAAGAAGAGATATGAAATGGATAGAGTTAATATAAATAAGAGAAATACGAGAAATAAAAATAATCAGAGCGACATATTTATGATTGATCAAAAGCACTTGGACAGCGTCATCTGTTTCTCGAGTAGAAATTTTCACTCGAAATTTCGAAATTTCCTCAACACTAGCACTACCGACGAGCGAAGAATAAAATTAAAGTGAAAAGATAGAAAAGATAACAATAACTTGCGCAAACTTTTATTTGTACATTTTGCGGAAAATCATTTAAATCTTTGAAAATGTTTCATATTTATAAAATTTCTACCAAAAATAAATAGATAAATTGATCGTTTTGATCATTTTGGTAGTTCCAGTGTTAAGACTTTCTTTCATGTTTGATTTCAAATACGAAGAGCTTCTATCGAACATTTTTTAACACATAGACAGAAAGGACAAAAGAAAACTTACCACATTACGGTAAATATCTGAGCAAACAGTCATGGCACTGTGGACGGAAATCCAGTTGCTATTTAACTCTTAAAAGATAACAATAACTTGCGCAAACTTTTATTTGTACATTTTGCGGAAAATCATTTAAATCTCTGAAAATGTTTTATATTTATAAAACTTCTACCAAAAATAAATAGATAAATTGATCGTTTTGATCATTTTGGTAGTTCCAGTGTTAAGACTTTCTTTCATGTTTGATTTCAAATACGAAGAGCTTCTATTGAACATTTTTTAACACATAGACAGAGAGGACAAAAGAAAACTTACCACACTACGGCAAATATCTGAGCAAACAGAGTCACGGCACTGTGGACGGAAATCCAGTTGCTATTTAACTCTTACTTTACATGTGATCACTGGCAGGATAAGCTTCAAAACTATAAAGTTTTCAGATGAGAACTTCCCTTAAGCGTTTCCTTGCGTGCAGACTGGCGGATCACATCGTAAAACGATCGTAACGATCGACATTTAGTTTGACATTGCGAATGATAAAGGGCGTAATGGCCCTGTGGCAGCCATCTACATGATGTATCTAGGTCATTTATGTACTTTATTCGTGATGCATGCACGTATATATGTACGTCTCGTTACTTGCGACATTCGGCGACATGGCTGCTATGACTTCATGGCCCTCGTGCGAGAAAGCATTGCATGACGTGTCGGCTGGCTGTGCGTAAATTTATGGAAGTAAGCGCGTAAAGACATCTGCGACGAGTCTGGGTTACGTCGGATTGCTTACGACGTAACGGTATGCAACATACGCCCACGTTTGTTAGGAACACGCTGGGTTTTCTTTTTACCATTCTATTCATCCGGTCGCGAGAACCGAGTAGAGCAATTCTTATGGTAATTAGTAAAGAAAGGAGATTTGAAATTGATTCAATTCTTGTGTTATCCGTCGCGAACTATTAACCTCTTGCGCTGGAATGACGTTCCGCGCACGTCGAGAATATATTTGGCAGAAAATTGCAACATTTTCTCAGTTTTAGAGTATATTGAAATATAACAAGAGGCAAAACAAATAATAAATTTCTCACTCCTTCGTAATTTTTACCCAGTGATACATACCGATGAATTCAAAAAGAAGACGAATCGTTGTATACGGTTTGGTCGCTCGTTATGGTCCGTGAACCAGTTACTAACGCAAGAGATTAAGGGGGGAACTAAAAATGTTCTACAATGTAGAATTTAAAAATATGATGATGTAATAAATATGATGATAATGGAGGATAAATAGTCCATCCAGTTTCTGAATTTGGAAAAAATAAATTATTATTTAATAATAATAAACATAAAGACGGTGGAATTAATCAAAATCTAATATTATTCATTCGTGGAAATGCTATATCAGGAGATCCTAATATTAATGGAAGTTAAAAAATATCCAATTATAAATGGTATAAAAAAAAAATTATTAAAAATGCACATCTCTCTACTGAAGAACAGATCATAAATTGGTCTTTTTATCTGAATATTCGTAAATATGCAATCTGAAAATATGGAAAACGTTCTTTCAACGTATTGGTATCTATGAACTCCAAATTTGTTATTGTACGTTAATTCAGCGATTTACATTATGTGGCTATAATAATTAGTTGTAAATAACGAGCAAACCTCCGAGTATACAACGTAAGAAGTAGGAAAAAAGAAAAAAAAAATGCCTGCTAATACATATACATGAATTTCCTATTTCCAACTCTGCTGGTCGGTCTTCATCCTTCGATCTTCGAAGAAACTCGATAGCCGTCAATATCAATTTCCCGCGTGCGCGATTGTTGTTTTCTGCGTCTTTTGCATCGATGACGCATGACGATCGTTACGAATCGTTCCGCGACGTACAGTAAAGTAAACGTATGCACTATGCACGACACGTAATGTACATACTGTTCCGTACATGT